TCAGAAAACCCCTGGATCTGTGGTCCCTTCTCCCGAGCCCAGGAGCAGCCAGGCTGGGCCTGTTCAAGCCCCACTGAGCTCCTGGGGTGTAATGAGTTGACAGTTCTCAGGTCACATCCCTGGGAACAACACTCACAGTTGCAGAGCCACGAGCAGACACGGATGCTGCTGCCTGGCACAGAGCAGTGCCCAGCTCCCCAGGCTGTGCCCCACCACATCCCAGCTTCTCCCTCACCCAAAGCCCCCTTTTCCCCACATTCTGAGGGCTTCTCTCAGCCTCAGAGCCTTTCCAGGTCTCCTCCCCATGGCTGGAGCAGCTCAGGCACCACTTTTCCTCGCCAATGAGCAAGTCCTTCTCTGGGCAGCTGGGAGGGTCTGGCAGGATCCAGCTCTGCCCCAGCCCCGCAGCTGGTGAAGGTGCACAGCCAGCCAGGATTAGAGCTGCTGGAGTTAGGCACATGTCCCCCTCTCAGACTGGGTTGCTCCCAGCTCCAAATCCCCAGCCTGGATGCTCCTGGAGATGCTAAGAGCTGCTGGCCCCAGACACCCTTCCAAGGCAGGGAGCAGTGAGAAAATCCCTGCCCTTTTCCAAACACCAGTCCCAGTGGTTGTTTCTCCCTCTTGAGCCTTCACCAGCGTCCCTCTGAGGCGATGATGCCCAGGTCTACCGGCAACAGGGTCAGTAATTCCCAGCCCAAAACTGATCCTCCAGGACCCCACACCCACCCTGTACTCCCTGTGTCTCCCCCACGGCTCTCCCTGCACCGGGGCAAAGCCCATCCACCCCAGCGTGAAATCCCCTCTGGCAGCCCCACACCAGGACCAGGGGACACCCCCGGCTCCCACCCACGCCGGGTTCCTCCACCCCTGTGAGAGACCCCCTTGTGCTCAGATCTGCGTCTCTCCCTGGCCTTTCAGCGAGGGGGATTTGCTGGGGAAACACAGCCCCGGCCCCTTTGTGCAGCCGCTAATGCTGAGTGACTGCTCCTTTGTGCCGCCGGCAGCGCCCGCTCGGCGGCAGCCGCCTGGGAACAGCCCCGCCACACAATGGGGGTGACCTCAAAGCAAACATTGACTTAAAACCGCTGTTAACCAGGCAGGAACACCGGGACCCCTGGGAAACACAGCCAGCCCCCAGCAGCGCTGGGGCTTTGTCACCAGAGGCAAAGCCCCCGGAGCCGGCTGGTAAAGGGGATGGAGCTGGTGGCATCATCCCTGGTCCTGGAGATGCTGCTCAAGGTCGGATGGGACAGGGCTGACACTGGGTGTAGGGAGAGGCAAAGAGTGTTTTGTTAACTCAAGTGCCCAGCCTGGGAAACAGAGACTGAGGAACAATTTTAAAATTGTGTTTGAAGGATCCCATTGGAGACAAAAGAAACCAGGGATGTGCTGCTCTGTGGATGCCCCTTGAGGAATTAATTGAGGGTTGAATAGATACAGCCTTGGCTCTTACATGAAGAAGAAACCCCCCCACACACACACTCTCCGAGCTCATTTCCAGCTGCCTCCTAAGGCGGGATCTCTGTGCTGATCACAGCAAGGTGGCAGATCCATGCACATCCAGCATGGATGGTTATCCAGCAAAGCTCCCAGCCTGGAGCAGCACTGCCCCTGCCTCCCACAGACAAATGTCCAGAGGTGCAGAGGTCCAGATGGATGTGCAGAGAGCCCTCCCCACTATGGCTCCCCATGGCCTCTCAGGTGTCACTGAAGAGCGAGGAAAAAACTGCACCAAGGCCATGTGGGATGCACAGTGCAAACAGCGCACAACATTCCCTTACAGCTTCTGGAGTGCATGTGGGAAACTGAGCACCCAGCCTGCTCCAGACTGCAGTGGTAGGCACCAGCCTCCCTCAGAGCACAAGAACAGGTGCCCAGCCAGCTTCAGAACATGGCAGTGGCACCCAGTCTGCCCAGAGCTGGGCTGTGCACCCACTCAGCACCACCAACTCTGGCTGCTCCCAACTCAGAGCAGGATCCTGGGAAAGGACATGTTCTCCTAGCCAGGCCTCCAGCATAGGCACCTTGATCTCCCTTTCCTGCCCTCCAGAGAGGGCTGCAGGGAGCCAAGGGGATGCTCAGCTGAAGGGGGAAGGTGGGAGATGTGTGGGGGTCCAGGCTGGGAGCAGCCCCAGATCAGCCAGGTGTGATGGGCACGGGGTACATGGGGAAGGTGCTCCAGTGGGAACAAGGCTGCGCTTCCAGGAGTGATGAGGCAGCTCTAAGGGCAGTTTGCCACCGGGATGAGTGTTCACAGGACGCTGTGGCTTCCCCTCCTCTCACAGCCTCTAATCCAGGACGGTGTCTCGGGGCTGTGCTGTGCCGCACGTCCCACGCCTGACGCTGCCAGGCAGCACCTGTGGCCTTGTGCAACACCCAGGTCACACAGGGTGACCCAGAGAGGCCCGTGCAGGGCTCAGGGGACAGATGTCAGGGGGCAGCCACAGGCTGGGCAGCCGGCTGGGGAGGGACAGCGTGTGTTCTCCATCCTCAGGTTGTCTGCAACCACCTCCGGGAAACGCAGGAAAAGCACGAGCCCTGGATAACTCCACATGCAGGACACGGCAGGGGAGAGGCTGCGGGGGCAGAGGTGGGGCCAGAGGTGGCCCTGGTGGCACTGGCTGTCCCCACAAAGCAGCTGGCACGGCTGCGGTTTCGGCAGCGAGGGAAGCACGAGGGCAACCCCAGCGGCACCGCCTGCCGCTAATGACAGGGCAGCTAATTACAGGGGCAGGCAATTAAACACGCAAACCACGCTCGAGTATCAGGGCAGTGCCAGCGACGCTGCGGGGGCATTGCCCTACCCTGCCCACGGCCTGGGGGCTGCGGGGACACGAGCGGGGGGCACAGGGCAGCGGGGGAGCCCCCCAAAAGCGGGCACGCTGTGCCGGCGAGGCAGGGAATGAGGATGCCGGGCTGGACAGGGGTGGTGGCGGGGGCTGTGGGCTTTCCTGAGCTCTGCTCGGGGCCAGCGGGGGTCCCTGGGGGGCTACAAAAGCCTCTGCCGGCAGCGAGTTCCCTGCTCGGCGGGACAGATGAGCCGCGCGGGGCGCAGGATGGGGAGGAAGGAGGAGGAGCTGCCCCGAGGGACGGACGTCCAGGGCCCCGAGGGATGGATGTCCAGAGCCCCGAGGGATGGATGTCCAGGGCCCCCAGGGATGCGTGTCCAGGGGCCTGAGGGATGGATGTTGAGAGCCCCCAGGGATGGATGTCCAGGGCCCCGAGGGATGGATGTCCAGGGCCCCCAGGGTTGGATGTCCAGGGCCCCCAGGGATGCGTGTCCAGGGGCCTGAGGGATGGATGTTCCACAGGCCTAAAGGGATGGATATCCACAGGTCCCGAGGCAATGGGTTGAGGGGCGCGTTCCTGGGTCCGCCCCTCCGGGAACACCGGGGACAGAGCGGCGGAGGACGGGACGGGGAAGGGGCAAAGGAAGAAAGGCGGGACCATTTCGGGCCGGGGGCGGCCCGTGGGATGGGGGTGAGTGGAGGGGGGTCCCCACGCCGGGCGGCACTTCCCGGGACGGGACACGAAGCAACGGCCGGGATAGCGACCGGGAAAGGGACAGAGACCGGGACAAGGGTAGGGACAGGGACAGGGAGCGGGACAGGAGCAGGGACAGAGGCAGGAATAGGGACGGGGACAGGAACAGGAGCAGGGATAAGGACAGAGACAGGAACAAGGACGGGGAGAGGGACAGGGACAGACACAAGGGCAGGGACCGGCCCCGGCCCGGCTCCCCCAGGCCCCGCCCTCGGCCCCGCCCCGCTATTGCATCATCCGGCCCCGCCCCCCGGTGCCCGGATGAGGCGGCCCCGGCGGTGGCGGGTGCTGCGGCGGTGACAGGGGATGCGCTGCGGTGAGCGGGGCGCGGGGCCGGGCCGGGCAGGCCGGGGGGCCCGGGACAGCCCCGGGACAGCCCCGGCGGGCCAGGGGGAATCGGGACGGGGGATGATCACGGCCGGGGGGCCGGGGGGGCCGCGGGCCCCGCGCCGCCATTGGCTGCGGGTTGACAACGGGGCAGGGCCCGCCCCCGCGCCGCACCATTGGCTGGCGGAGCCGCGCCGCGGCCGCTGATTGGCGGAGGGGACTGTCAGTCAGGGCGCGGCCCGGCTCGGCCGCCGCCCTGCGCGGGCCGGGTCCCCCCCCGGACCCTCCGGGACCCTCCGGGCGTTACCGGCCTGGGGCTGCCCCGCACCCCGGGACAGCGCCGCGCTGGGATCGCCCCCGGGGAGAGCAGTTTGGCAGCACCGACAGGCAGCCGGAGCTGTGATTCGCCTCAGTTGTCATAAAACCCTTGGGCGACCCGGTGGCCGCGGTGTGGGGCCTTTCTTAGGGAGCAGTTCTTCCCGGGATTAGGTGATCGGACATTGGTAGGGGCTGCCCAGGGAGGTTTGGAGTCCCCACCCCTGGAGGTGTCCAAGGCAGGCCTGGCCGTGGCACTCAGTGCTCTGGGCTGGGGACAAGGTGGGGATGGGGCACAGGGGGGATCCATGGGCTGGGAGGGCTTTTCCAACCTCAGGGATTGTGGGATTCTGGGATTCTGTACCAGGATGGCAGAAATGTTTGCCCTCTTCTGTCCCTGACTTTCCTCTTCCAGCAGAGGAGTGAAAACGGGAGGCAGGAGGGATGTAAATTCTGTCGATTGCTTTGGCTTTCGTTGCACTCGGTGGTCTGGGAGGGCTTTTCCAACCCGAATGATTCCGGGAGCTCTGCTGAGTATTTTTCAGTAGTTCCCTGCGGGTTTTTCTCCGAGGTTGTCCTCACCTCCCTCTCAGCTCGGAGCGCCCTGTTGTGTCTCATACAAACCCCTCGTGCTCGGGTGACGAGCGTGACCCGAATTGCACAGACGCGTGTGCGGGACGAGCGGCTCTGACACGGCAGCAGATCCCTCACCGGAGCCAGACCCCACGGAGTGACTCCCACTGACACAGCCCCGTCCTTCCCGGGGGGAGGAGAGCTGTCCTCCCCTCCCACAGCCCGCGCTGGGAGTGACTCAGGCATTCCCTGCTCCCTCTGGAACGATCCTCACTCGGTCCCGAGTGCACAGAGGTGGGGGGCACTTTGGGATGCCTCTGGGGCACTTCTTGCCCTCAGAGGTGCTTAGAGATGTGAAGCTGCTGGAGAAGAATTCCGTGGATCCTTGAGGAATTTTTTTTTGCTTTTTGTTTTTTGTTTTTTTCTCCCACCCCCCCTCGTCCCCAACAAGAAACAGTTCCTGGACACTGTGGAGAGCTGGTGGCCTTGTCAAGGTCAGTGTTTTGGTAGAGCTATCAGTAACTGTGAGAGGAAGGAGCTGTCCCAGGGCAGAAAAGAGACTGGGAGGATTTTGTGTATTTTGGAAGGGGCTGCCCAGGGAGGTGGTGGAGTCCCCAGCCCTGGAGGTGTCCAGGGAGGTGGCACTCGGTGCTCTGGGCTGGGTGACAAGGTGAGGATCGGGCACGGGGTGGTCTCAGAGGTCTTTTCCAACCTCAGTGGTTCTGTGAGTCTGTATTTCTTAATTTACATGTAAATGGGGTGTATTAGCAGTGTGAGTGAGTGCACAGACAGGCTGGTTGGCAGTGCCAGTGAACTGTGGCTGTGCAGGATATGAAAGATGTGGGTAGATAATGTGGGTTTTGGATTAACAGTGCCAGGACTGCCCCGGAGGGGATCCTGTGTCCTGCTTTCTGCCTGGGCTTTGTGTTTATGTATTTACTCTGTATACATGGAGGGATTCTCCCTTTGGTTTGCACATGTGGGGATTTAATCCTGTGTGCCACTGGGAGTCCCAGAGGTGTAGGATGTGTTCAGACACAAAGTGTTTGAGTTCCTGTTTGAGTAATTCAGGGGAAAGCCCTCAGGTGGTTTTGTTGTCTGGTTTTTTTTCCCTGACTCTTTAGATGTTGCAGATATGTAAGATAATTCCTCTTTTGGTGCAGAAGGAAAGAGAAGAGAAAGGAAAATATGAAAGTGGAGAGAAAGCACGAGACTGATGATGTCTGTGACCTTGGTGCCACAAGGAGTCTTGTCTCTGGAGTCATTGCTGGGAGCAGACTGCCAAAAACTACAGCAACAAAGTGCAGCTTATTCCCTCAGTCTGTCACAGTTGGTTTTGAGGTGCCAGGAAAGTCGGGCTGAGGAAGGAAATGGTGTTTTTGCAGTCCTTGATGTTTGTGTGACACCACAAAAATAACCGAGATAAACTGTGGAGCGTGTTCAGCCAACTGCCTGCCCTGCTGTGCTGCCCTGACCTGTGGGCAGAGCCACTCAGAGCCAGCAGAGCAGCTTTTGCTTGATGTGATTGTGTCCCTCCAGGGCTCAGCTCAGTAGCAGATTGTGCTGGTTCCTTCTCCTTCCCAGCACCGAGTTTTATTTTTAACATTCCCGTTGTTCAGTGCTCACTGCAGAGCCCCTCTCTGGGGGCTGGTCTGGGATAAATGCTGAAAATACACCTTTTGGGGAGTGTTTTCAAATGAATTCTCCCCTCCCGTGGCACTGGTAGGATGTAAAGGAACAGAATTCCCTGCTGTTGTCAGAACCCCGTGCTGAGTGCTTTTCCCTTGGAATTCCTTGGTCACTCTCAAGTCCAGAAGCATCTTCCCCTCTGCCCCCCCTCCTTCCCAGGAAATGTTGTTATGGGGGTGGGGTCAATCGCTGAGGTCACAGGGGACCTGGTGCTGTCATTTGGTGCAGGCTCTGGGCTGGGTGTGCTGTAAGTTCTGGGGTAAATCCACTGCTTCTGGGGATTCTTCAAGGTTTGAGGAGAAACCAGGCAGCTGTGAGTTGGGGGAAGGTGCAGCTGGGTGGGTGATCTCCAGAGGGAGGTTCAGGTCCACTTGCAGCCTGTGGTGGGGGGTCAGGATCAGTGCTCCTGGTGCTCAGCATCTCTCACAGACCTTCCTAGAGGGTGGTTTTCCAGGGAGCAGAGGCTCAATCAGGAGGAAGCTTGTCCTTTTCACAGCCTGGATTTCCTTCTCAGTTCCCTGTTTACTCCACACCTCCTGCTCTGTGTGGGTTCATCCCTCTGGGGTTCCTGGCTGTGGAGCCGGGAGTCAATTGTTCTCGTGGTCGGGCCCAGGTTGTTCTGGACCCTCTCATCTCCTTTCCTTCATCTCTGCAGGTACTGAACCTGCATCAGGAGCACCAACCTCTTCAGGTTTCCTTTTTAAGGCACTTTGGTGGGAACAAATAGAGGTCGAGTGTCTGAAACTTCCCTTGTTGGCGAACATGATTTTTAATCCTAAATTCTGCTCCCTTTGATAGCTGTAGCTTGATTTCTGAAAAGAGGCTTCTTTGCACCAGTGCATTTCCTCTGGTTTCAAGGCTTCCACCCCAGTGCTGGCTCGCTCAGCAAGGGTGCTTTATTAGGATTTGATATCATATATTCACCAGGCCTTTGAGCCTTGGCCATGTGGTGCAGAGCAGACGTGTTACCTTTGATTAATGAGGCTGTGGAGATAACGAGGCTTTGCTGTGTGGTGCTGGGTTGCCTTAAAGGCTTTTAGTCTGAACTTGGCACAAAGTTCCTGCAGGTAGGATTTGGTTATCATCTCCTGCCTCCCGTGCTGCCCAAATTGGAAATGCAGGATTTATGGTTGCAGCAGCAGGAGTGTTCTGCTGACTCTGTGCTCTGTGACTTTCCTCCTTCCCTGAAAGCTCCTGTGCTGCTGTTGCAAGAGGCAAGGAGGCATTTGTTGTGGTTCACTTGAGAACATTCAGTTCAAAAATAGGATTGCAGGAGAAGGTTGAGTTCACAGAGGCTCAGTTTCTAGCAGTGACGGGTGCAGGCAGACATCCAAAATATATGGAAATCCACCAGCTCCTATTCCAGGATGAGCAAAACAAGCACAAATTGATTGGTGAAATCTAATCCATGCCTTTGGTTGGTTTGTTTGTTTGTTTTCCATCTTCTAATAAGTGCATGGCAGTGTCCACTTGCTTTGAGTTTTGGCTGGAGGGCTCAGGTTAGTTTGCTTTAAACCTTGATTTGGGGGAGAAAAAATCAAGAACTTCAGGGGTTTGGGGGTTTCCTGTTGGTTCTCATGGTTTGAGAAGGTGAGGAATGGTGGGAACAAGGTTTCTTCTGCTTTTCTGCCTGCGAATCAGCAAAAAAGGGGAAGAAGAGCTGCTTGGGGACAGTCCTTCCTGCTCTTGGTGGCAGCTCTGGGTGGTGCCAGCTCTGGGTGACGGGGTGAGAGGGGGAGGCTGTGGCACAAAGCAGGCCCTCGGCAGTTCTGTGACAGCCAGAGTGAGTTGTTGTCTCCAGAACTGAAGGCCCACGTGAGCTGGGCGGAATTCCTCGATCGAGTCCTGTTTGAGGTGGTTACTTGTTTAATTCCAAAGGTCACACTGGACATTTCCATTGCCTGCAGGGGAAGAGGGGCCAGCAGAGCACAGATGGGGGAGCTCAGCACTGGGCTTTGTCGTGTTTGTTTGCCTCTGTGTGATTTTTCGTGTTTGGTGTCTGAAAACCCCGAGCACACAGGGTTGTGAGGAAGAAAGCAGAAAAACGCGCAGAAAAACGAACATTAGGTGAGATGAATTCCCTTTCCACGGCAATGTTTATAAGCTGGTTTTAAATGGGAGAGTGTGAGGCAGTTAAAATCAGGGAGAATGCTCTTCTGCAGCCACTTGAGATGCTGCAGGTACAGCCGGGGTGAACTGCAGCAGCTTGTGAGCAGCGCTCGGGATGATCCTTCCTGGGGTGTTTCAGTGACTCATCTCGCTTTGAGAGCGGCGAGGAGTGAATTCCCGACTGTGGGAAGGGGTGGGCAGAAGCTGAAACATCGTGTTGTGTTTCAAGCCGGGTGTTTTGGTGTTAGATTTCATGCAAACCTCCCCAGCAGCCTCCCGGCACACGGGGAGCCCCGGGAAGCTGAGTCGAGGTTACACCGTGTTACACTTCAGGCTGTGTTTGTGTTCTCATGGCTTAGCAGAGATTTCAGTTTGGCCTTGAATGCAGGATTCCCGAAGTTACTTAGGGAATGTGTGTTTGTTTAGTTCTTTCTGCCACAGGTTGGATTCAGATATCCCTGTAATATCCAGAGGATACTGCACATCTTTGCTTGTAAGGATGCCTTTGGAGGTGGGAAAACAGATTTGTCCTGTACAAACCCCACTACACACTGCAGTTTTCAGAGTGATTTCAGCGTGGAAAAGTTCTTTCCTTTTCCCAGTGGAGAGTTCCTCTGTCCTGCTGACTTTGGGGGGGGGGGGGCTTGAAAGGATCCCCCGTGTTTTGAACGTAGCCCTTGTCTGGGAGCTGCCTTGGAGCTGGAGCTGTGCCCACGGAGCTGTGCTTTCCCAGGGCACTGTGTGAATGCTAAGCTGTGTTGGAATGAATTCCAGTGGGCAGCAGCATAAGCCTGCTCTCATTTTCCCTGGAAGACGCTGCTGCATTGTCTTGTCTGTGCCCTGAAAGCCTCAATGTTGTCGGTCAAAGGCTCGATTCTGCAAGTGCCACGTATGCAAAGGAGCCTGTGAATAGGGAGGACTCGCCGTGCTGGTTCTCAGCTCCTCATGGAATTCCAGGACAACTGGCAGCTTTTGTTAAACCCTCGGTATTCCGTGGGCATCCTCTCTCCCACACACGGGAGATGTTTCACATGCTCTGGCTGTGTTGTGATAAGGCCTGGGAATGGCTCCCCTGCAGGCTCGGAGAATCCCGTGTTCCTGTGCCATCAGCTGAGGGAATGGGCAAAGCCTGGCATGGTTAAAGGATCTGCCTGTGCCCACGGGTGTGGCAGGGGCAGGGTTGGAGGCTGTTGGCATCTCCCAGCTCTCAGACTGGTGTTTGGGCCGTGAACACCGTGTTTGTGTGTGCCCCTCATGAGGGAGCGCTGCAAGCGCTGCAGGGATCCCGTGGGTGTTTGTGTCCCAGGGCGTGCCCTGAGCAGACAGGAAGGAGTCCTGGACCTTATCTCAGCCACTTCTAAGATATGATGTAGGAAGGACTAGGAAGAGTTCCTGCCGAGGGGCCTGAGGCACCACTGAGCTGAATCTCCTCCCTCTGGTGTCTCAAAGGGTCTTTGGACAAAGGAGTGTGTGTGTGTGGGGGGAAATCCCTCCTGTACTTGGGAGTGCCAGACAGCCCTTCCTGTGCTTGCAGGGATTCTGTGGATATTTATTTCCAAGGGTGTGCCCTGAGCAGACAGGAAGGAGTCCTGGAGCTCATCTCAGCCACTTCCAGGAAAAGATGTCAGGTGCTTCCATGTACTTCCTTGTAAGGGAAGGCAAGTGGGACAACTGAGTACCAAAAGTGGGATGTGGATGCTGGAGCTCAGCAGGGCACACTGGTGTTGGCAGCTGGAGCAGGTGTTTATCCAAAATCCCTGCTGGTAGCACTGGGCACGGTGGGAGATGTGGAGCAGGGGCAATCATGAATTATCACCCGTTTAACCAACTTGGAAAAGGTCAACTCGCTCCTGCTGGGTGTGTTTGGGAGGGAAGAGTTCCTGAGGCACCCCAGGGCTGAATTTCCTCCCTCTGGTGTCTCAAAGGGTCTTTAGACAAAGGAGTGAGGGGAAAAAGCATCCCTCCTGTACTTGTGAGTCCTTGCTGTGCTTGCAGGGATTTTGGGGTGTCTGTGTCCCAGGGTGTGCCCTGAGCAGACAGGAAGGAGTCCTGGACCTTCCCTCGCCCCGGCTCGGAAATGATGTCAGGAGCTTCCTCGTGCGAGCCCTTTTCTAACCACATCCTGAACGTTGCTGCCAGCTGGCGTGGCTGCTCACCTGCTGGGCCCAGCTCACCTCTGGAGCTGTGGGAGCTGAGCCTGGTTGTGTTTTATTTATTTTGGGATGAATGTGCTGCCTGCTGATCCAGCCCTCCAGAGTGTGCCGGTTTGGAGCCGAGTGCAGGGAAAGGTCCAAGGCTTTTATGGAAGGGTTTGATCAGTGCTGGACCAGTGCTTTGACCAACACCCAGCAGTGCCTGAGCTGGTCACCTCTGCCTTATCCTGGCAGATGGAATCCCTGTCCAGGAGCTGCCTGAGCCTCTGGCTCACCTGGATGCACCCGAGGGGGAACTGCAACAGTTTGGGCTCCACATCCCCTGGGAACAGGCTTGTGCACAGGACTTGGGATTTGTCCCTGTGGGGGAATGGAGGTGCCTTGCTGACAGCTGAGCAAGTGCTCCCAAAGAAACCTGTGTCTGGAATTCGGTACTGGAATGGCTCCACGGGTGTGTTTGATTTTGTCAGTACAGAAAGGAAACATCATCAGTTCTCTTGGGCACTGTAGAGATGTGATTCCTGACAAATTGCTTCTCCCATAACCCCGTGAAGTTAAATAAACACAGTGTGAGATTTGGGGTGGGTTTGGTACCCTCTGGATAAATGTGGGCCCTTGGGTTGTGGCAGCTGCAGTCCCAGCTGGAACCCACGTGCCAGTTCTGCCTGGCTGTGTCTCTGAGCTCAGTGCCAGCCTGGCTGCCCTCTGACGAAAGCATGGGACTGCTTTGTCCCACTTTTAGGTATCAAAAATGTGGGTCACTGCGATGCAGGACATACTAGTGTGACAATTTTAGCCTGAGGGGACAGAGTTGGCTGAGAGGGGACAGCGATGCCCGATAGATTGTGAAAGTCAGGACTTCCAGGTCAGCTATTCCTGATCAATGAGCCTGATGTTGTTCACAGCCTCTGCTTTAAGCACAGAAGGAGTTGGTTTCACCTTATTCCTTTTCTGGGTGTTAATGAGAAAATTTAAGCCTTGGCTTTTTGAGGAGAGAAAATAAGGATGCCTGTTTATAGAAGAGCTGTGGGATTGCTTGGGGAGGGCTCAGCAGTGGTGCTTTCCCCGTGGTCTGAGCAGTTCCTGCTGTGCATGGCAGGGCCTCAGCTACCCCATCACCACCTCCAGCAGCTCTGAGGCCTGGTGTGAATGTCCCATGTGCCCTGGACTGGGTTGCTCCTTGGATAAAAGTCAGTGTTGGGTTGTTTGCTGTGCTGGCTGAGAGCCAAGCAGTGCTGCAGCAGCACCCAGAGCTCCAGGAAGGGTGGTCCTCATGGAGCAGGGGGTCATCTGCTCCTCTGAACACCTCCAGGCTGGAAACTCCTCCTGTGTGATGTGACCAGGGGGTTTTTGGAGAGGCTGATCGTTCCTCTGTGTGTCTGAGGGTGCAAAATGATGTGGATAATTTCAGTTACCTGCCTGTTTTACACAAGCAGGAGTGAGCCAGGACTCAACACAGGAAGGTTAAACTGGATTTTGATCTCCACACACACTGTTAGTGGTTCCCTCTGTGTTCATCCTCCTTCACTACTCACCTTTGCAGCCCTAATAGCTGCTGGAGTGCTATTGTTGTGTTGGTGGCAGGAGGCAAGATCTCTTTAAGAACATTTTAGGAACTAAAGTGGAAACTGTGATAGCTGTAAATGTTAGTGTGTTACCAACTGTGATCCAGAGTGGGCTTTTCAACTGGTGTTTCAGTGGCAGATAAAAAACACAGCCAAAACTCCCGGTCCTGTTTCTCGCTGCACAAGCACTTCCAGAAGCTGGGTAAAATTCCATGGCTTGTTGGGGCAGGTCCCTGTGCTGGGTGACTCCTGTTAGGGATCATTAACATCCTGTGTGCAGGTGCCAAAGTGCTGGTGCTGCTGTTGGAAAGGCTGTGGCAGTGAAGCCCAGGATTTGGGAGCAGCTTTGGGGTCTGTGTTTTATCCTGAGCGTGTCCCTGTGTTTGTGCCCTGCAGGTCGTGTTGATCATGGACAGTGAAGAAATCCCAACTTTCTCGAGTCCAAAGGAGGAAACTGCATATTGGAAAGAGCTTTCCTTGAAGTACAAACAAAGGTATGGTAGATTTGCAGGCTGGGTTTGGTTCTTAATGACCACAACTTTGTTTAACTGCAAGGCCACACCAAGACTATTATTATATTATAGTCAGTATTTTAGAAAGCATCTCTAAAAAGAGAATTTGTAAAGAATTTCTAGCTTTAAAGTTCCCAGTTTTGTGGGAGCTGAGTGTTTCCTGCCCGATGTCTCCACGCCAGGAACTCCAGGCTATGTTCTGAGCATGTTTGAGCAAGAGCAGAGCCCTTTTAGGATCATGTGCACCTCTGTATAATTAAAGTGCTGCCTTAAGTAGTATCTTGATGTTTTATCATAAGAAGGCGCCTTTGGGCTCTCCTTGTGTCATTCCTGTTCCCTCCAGCTCCTTGTAATGGAATTACTGGTATGAAAAGTGGCTGATTTGGTGTCTGCTGCATTTTACTGAAGTGGATTTTACCTCCTGTACCAGGAGTTTGCACCTTTTAGGGGGCACGGGGCTTTTTGGGTACCAAAAGTGCCAGGAGAGGCTGTTTTATTGAGTAGTGCTGTGCTTCTTGAGGGGCTTTCTTTGGAGTGCTCCCGCTTCATTTTCTTGGGAAGGCTTTATGTGCCCTCAGTGGAACTCATGTGCAGCTGAGCTGAAGTTAAAACCTCTCTCAAACCCAGAGAGCCCAAGCTGCCTTTTTTTTTTTGTTTTGTTTTTTTTGTTTGTTTGGTTTGGGCTTGTTTTGGGGAGGGAGGGAGGGGTTGGGAATGTGGAGGAGCCTGTCCATGTGGAGAACCCTGAGCTGTTCTTGGGTGTCAGAGCATTCTGTGGGAGACACCAATATGTTGTTTCCTGAAGCCTTGTTGGTTTTCCCTGCTGTTTGCTGAGGGCTCAGCTGGTACCTGTGGTAAAGATGCAAATTTAATAAGCAAAGTATGTGGAGTGGCTACTCCTGGTGTTTAATAACTGTCGGTGCTATGAGGCAGGTATGTGCTGGCTTCCTGACTCCTCATGATTTTTAAGAACCTTAAATTTCCAAGTAGTGCAGAGATGCAGAAACTGTTGTTCCCTCTTCAGTTTTTTACCAAAATCAGGTTAAGTGTTTGCTTAATTCCTTGTCCCCAGCAAATCTCCTACCAGTGGAAGTCAGTGGAGTACAAAGTGGTTCTCAGGTTCCCATGAATCCTGTAAATAGCCTTGATTTCACACAGGCATTTTGAGGCAGCTGTTGGTTTTGATGTAAGAGAATTAATTTCCTTTAATAGCTGAGCTTAATATAATTTCTCCATTTCCCCATTTTTCTTTTTTCCCCTTAGAAATCTACCACGACGCTTAAGTACTTCAAAACTCCTGGGTTTTTTCAGCTTTTTTATTTTAGAAGAGCTGCAGATTTTAACTTGGGGGATGCTGGCTTTTCCCACTGGTGAAATCCTCTCTCCTTTACAGCTTCCAGGAGGCTCGTGAAGAGCTGGCTGAATTCCAGGAGGGAAGCAGAGAATTAGAAGCAGAGTTGGAGGCACAGCTAGTGCAGGCTGAGCAGAGGAACAGAGATTTGCAAGCAGATAACCAAAGACTGAAGTATGAAGTGGAAACATTAAAGGTGGGTGCTTCTTTTGGGTATGTCTTGGATCTCCTTGGAGATCCTCTGGGCTGCTCTTGCTCACTGAATATCCAAATGAAGTCAAGGAATCGTCTGTTTATGATCCAGACTTAAGGACCAGGCACGTCCTCCAAATAAGGCAGGGAAATTCCTGGCAGAGTTTTCCTTGGTCACATCATGAAACTCTGGTTGTGGAGTTTGTGCTCTGCATTCTGGAGGCTGTGCCAAGCAGGAGCTTTATTGGTTACAGGGGAACATCAGCATAGCAACAGGGGGACAACATGAGCTGTCTGTCTTTGCAAACCAGTCTTTGTCTCCTTGGCTCTCTGAGACCCTACAGAAGGCTCAGAGTGGGTGATCTGTGCCCTTCTTTCAGAGAGGCTCCTCATCCATTCTTAACAGCCATTTCTGTGGAGCCAGGCATTGCAGAGGGGTCTGCATGTGCACAAGGTGGCTTTGAACTGATGCCTCTGTGTTAACAGTTCTTGCCTCTTTTGGAACCTTGACATAGCATCGTTTTGGGTAGTCTTGGCTTGTGTTAGTGAAGACAAAGGTTAGAAATCCTCTCAGTTTATGGGATTCCTCTGTGTATCCATTCCCAGCTGTACTGTAAGGTCAGCACATGTTTTATGAGGCCACTGGTTTCTCCACAGGGCTCCATCTGTGCCCTCAGAGCTGGTGAGAGAGTGTTTGGCAGTGAATTCTTCCAGAGATGAGTTTGTGGGCCTGGAGGTTTTGTAACAGATTCTAGTGGCTCTCATTTTCGCTCATGGACACGTCAGCCAGTGTTTGGTCTCAGAGTGGCTGTTGTCAAGGCAAAAGGGGGGTCTGTGCAGTTGGATTTCTCTCTGGCTCCCTGGATGTTTGAGGCCCTGGAGCAGCTGTCAGTGCAGGCTGCTGGGAGCAGATGCAGGGACACATCCCTGAGAGCCAGCTGTGTCCTGGAGAGATGGCTGTGTCTTTGTCTAGCCCTGATGTTCACAGCCTGTTCCTTCTCCCTCTCTGATTTTTCCTCTGGATTACCAGCAATCCCCAAACCAGCAGCCTGCAAAGAGCGTGATACTTTCTTTTTCCAATTTTCCTGCTATTTATCCCCACAATTCTTTCTTCCAGGAGAAGCTGGAGCACCAGTATGCCCAGAGTTACAAGCAGGTGTCCCTGCTGGAGGATGACCTGAGCCAGACCAGGGCCATCAAAGACCAGCTGCACAAATACGTGAGGGAGCTGGAGCAGGCCAATGATGACCTGGAGCGTGCAAAGAGGTGAGGGCTGCCAGCCTCCTCTGCCCTCAGAGCTTGCACTGCATCCTTTCAGATTGCCCATTTTATTATTCCTTAAAAGGGGAAGTACATTCAAAAACCCCAACCAACCTCAAGACTCTTGGAGTTCGCCTCCATCAGCCGGGTCCTTGTGTTAGAGCTGGAAGGGCAGTGGGACAGCGTGGCTTGTGCTCCTGTGAGGAACAAGCTGTGCAAGCAGAGCCACTGCCTCTGGTACCCCCAGCTAAATGGCTTCTATTTGTGGTCCTGGTGGCTCCAAACCCCTTTGAAGTCAGCAGCTCATGCTTTACATAGTCCCTTTTAAACAAACCAGGCCAAAGGAGTCTCCTGGTCCCTTCCAGAGCAGCTGTAGGGAACAATCCTGGCCTTTGTGAGGCCTGGGATGAACAGGCTGCTCTGGAAACGCCCAGTTTGGGAGGAGGTCATGCTTCCCTTTTGCTGAATGGGAATTCTGCCATTGATTCAGGGAGAGCAGGAATGAGCCTCTGGCTATCTGGGGAAAAAAAAAAAAAGATCTGAGAGCTGAGCTGCTGTTTCCACAAGGCTCATGACTAACTTCTGACAAGGAGTTTGGAAGGAATTGGCTCTTGGGTAATATCCCAGTGCTCTGCTTTCCACGCTGGGCTCTGCCTGCCCAGAGCTCTGCCCTCATTCAATGTACAGCTTGGGAAAAATGGGGAGGGGTGCACAGGACTGGCTCTTTCCCACCCCTTTGGTGCATCCCTGAGAGCCAGATGCTATCATGTTCTCTGCATCTTTTTCTCCCGTTTCTTTGGAGTTGATTATTCCTTTCTAGGCAGCATTTCCGTGGCTTTCAAACGCTCAGTGTGACTGCAGGCCCTGCTGACATTTTTCCTCTATTATGTTTCTGGATGATACACATTCATGTTGGCTGAGCTGAAGAACCCAATATTCTGGATTTTGTTTCTAGGGCAACAATAGTTTCATTGGAAGACTTTGAACAGAGGCTGAACCAAGCTATTGAGAGAAATGCATTTTTAGAAAGTGAACTGGATGACAAGGAGTCACTGCTGGTTTCTGTACAGAGATTAAAGGATGAAGCAAGAGGTAAGGCTTGTCTGGTTGGTTCTGTGTCTTGCTTTGCTAGAAGAGAGGTGTAGCAACCAAAGCTCATGTTTCTAGAAAGCCTCACATGATGAAACTTGAACTGCATACATTAGATACCATTAACAGTATGTTTTTTGTATGTTATGTGTAGTCAAGAGGAAAAATTTCCTCACTTAGGGCAGAATTAATATCAGATTAATTCAGGATTTTAATAGAGGGGAGTACAAAAATACTCTGTTCCACAGATACCACAGAATTGAGGAAATGTGCTTTGAAAGTGCCTTTTTGTTATGGTTTTATGCCTTGTGTAGGGAGGGAAAGCACAGGAAATGACAGGGAAATACAGGATAAATTTTTAAGTAACTGTCTTGGAAAATCCTGTCTCCTGCCAGCCATTAATAAGTCTAGAGATTAGTGGTTTTCAACTTTATTTCCCCAAGTGAAGCTTCCTAAAATAATTCCTCAGTTCAGGCCTGGGCCTGAGTGTAAGAAAACTCACCTGAACAGGCTGGGGTTTTTTGGCTGTGAACCTCTTTGAAAACCAAGTTTGTGCCCCAGGAATTAAAAGCTTTATTGGAAGCACAGGGGTTTTTGTAATAAATATCAAGAGGGAAGTTTTTCTGTATGTGAAGTTTTACACAATGTAAATATTTCTGACGAAATATATGTGTTGTCATTTGAGGTGAGGGCAATAATACTGGAAAAAACAGCAAAACCCAGGAGACTATCTTCCGGAACACTGAAATAATCAGCCAAAAAGACATCTTTTTTTTCAGATGAGTCATTTGGAAATTTTTAGCATTTGTTAGCATAGCAAAGCTGCTTGTTGTTCCCCCTGACAGCAAGCAGGAACAGTAGCCACTAAAAGAACTGGTAAAATGTCAAACTCAAGAGATGGCATTTCTGATGGAACAGCCTCAGATCCTCTGCTGGGGGGCCCAGTCATTTCAGCTCTGCTGTTTTACCTAAAACCAGTTCTAAACATCTGTGACAGCTCAGAAGCTGTGATGTGCAATTAATGGTGCTCTTGCACCTTGTAGCAGATTGAGGCAAGGAGTAAGAGGTCTGGGGAAACTTAGGAACAACTGGAACAAAAAGGAACAACTCCCTTGTCATCTTTTTTTTGCATCTAGACCCTTCTAAGGATTTACAGAGCCATTGCTGAGCTGTGCTGGATGCTCTTTGTAGCAAACAGATGAGGAAATGGGAAGGGGTGGGGTAAGGATAAGCTGCAGTCTGGGGAGGAGGTGAGAGCAAAGCCTGGCTTGGCTAATCTCCAGCCTGTTTCCCTTTGGACTACCCAGTCTCCAGTCTGCTCTTCCACTTGCCAAGGCATCAAAAACTGGGTGCAGCCCTTGGACTGTCTTGGGCTGGTGTGGAATTCTGGGGATTATTGACTGGAAGAATAACATAGCAATTGGAAGCACCGGGATAGGTCATTCCTCTGGTTTTCCCAGCCTCTCCTGGAGCAAGAGCTGAGTGTGGCCCAGCTGCAGCATTTGTGTCCAGCTGCAGTTTCTGTAACACTCTTTCCATGGAGCTCACACTGCAAATGGGCAGAATTCCTGAGGGAAAGTCACCTGCCATGAGCACAGGGACCACCCAGTTCCAGGGATTGAGCTGTGACTGTTCTGAGGGGTGTCCCCAGTGCTGCAGAATCCAGTTAATCCAGGATTGCTGCAAAGTTGTCTCCTCTTCCTCTCTCCCAAATGAACAGAGAGAGTGTTTGTGAGAGAAATCAGTCTCTAATATGTGTTTTTTGTGGATTTTTTTTCCTTCTCTCCATCCTCAGACTTAAGGCAAGAGCTGGCAGTGAGGGAAAGGCAGCAAGAGGTGACCCGAAAATCAGCTCCCAGCTCTCCCACTCTGGACTGTGAGAAGATGGATTCAGCTGTCCAGGCCTCTCTCTCCTTGCCAGCCACACCTGTTGGAAAAGGATCAGAAAATAGTTTTCCTTCCCCAAAAGGTACCATTCCCAGGATCTGTGTCTGGGTGTTTGGCAGGATGTGCAGCCTGGCAGCAAACCATGGATGCTCCACAGGGAATGTGGCTGTGGGGATAGGGAGATCCCACACCTGTGTTTAAATCCTAGGACAGCATCAGGTGCACTTAAGGAGTAGGAAAAGAAGGAAAAGAGCATGGAAAAAGCATGGAAAAGAATGGCACTGAAGCTCAGATAATGCTTTTGTGGGGGGCAGGGGTTTGCAGGGTGCAGTGGGTGCCTGCAGTGGAGCACTGAGGAGATCTGGGATTGCAGGGAAGTGCAGTGACTGATGTTCCTGCTCCAGTGTGGAACAGCAGTGGTGGGTGAAGGGGTGCCAGGAGTTCCAGAGTCTCTGTTCCCACACTGACTCTTGGGGGTGCTGTTTTCTCCCTGAGGCAGTGGGATGTCAGGCCAGTCCCCTTCCCCCTCTGGAAGGCTCGGGACAGTCACAGGGATTAATGGATGATTTTTCAAATGAGAAGGAGCAGATTCCAGCAGGAGCTCTGGCTGGATTAGATGGATTGTGGTCAGTAGCCCTGCAGATGGAGAGTGCATGAACTCTGCATGTGGGGCCAATGGGAATGAGGGCAGTGGGCAGGAATTAAGCTCTATCATTTTTCCATGGCTGCTGATCATGCAGTTATTGTGGGGTAATTGTATCAAGTGTCTGCAGTGGGGTTTTAGATTTATCTTTTTTTTTTTTTTTTTAATGTAGAAGTTGATTTATTTAAATGTTTAAACCCCCCTGAACTGTGGGGGAGTGGAGCAGGAAATAACACGTGCCTGTGTTTGCAGCTATACCAAATGGGTTTGGTACCAGCCCACTTACTCCTTCAGCCAGAATATCTGCACTCAACATTGTGGGAGACCTGCTACGGAAAGTGGGGGTGAGTGCTCTGAACTCCAGCTCTGGGCTCTCCCTGGGGCTTCTGTCCTTGTGCTCAGTCACAGCCTTAGCCTGTGCTGAGCACAAGCTGTACCTTCCAAACCATCCACATTGCGTTTAGTGGGTTATAATGTAATTTTTTTTGTATTGTTTTGACTTGCAAAGCGAGTTCCGATGCCAGTTTGGGGTGATGAAATTCATGTTTGGAGTTAAAAGTTTCTCAAGGACGTGGGTGACAGGGTTAGGCACCGTCAGCTGCTTGTTCTGCCCTCAGCTGGGCCTGCAGCTCCCTCTGTCCTCGGGCTCTGGGTGCCTGCTGACACCTGACATCAGGGTCTCCTCCTGTGAGATCTCCTCCTCTGGGCAGAGGAATTGAAAACTAAAGTGAAAATGAAAAAAAAAAAATCTAGAAACCTTTGGTAAGAAAGTGAGAAAATAAATCAGGAGAAAGCCAAACGCTCCCATCTGTAGTTGGTGGGGAAGTGAAATGCATGAGCCTGTAAAGGGATTAGTGCTGTAAGCAGGGAAGAAGTGGTTCAGACATCTGTTGCAGTGTTGTTCAGGGGTTTCAGCTGGACAAGGAGGTGAGTTTTGAGCTGGGAGGAGGTGGCTGATGAGCCTCAGGGGCTGTGCTGGAGTGGAAGCAGGGCCAGGCTGAGTGCTGGCTCTGCCCTGTGTGTGTACCCACCCTGAGCTGGGCAGGAGCTGCAGTGCAGACAGTTGTTTTAGCAAAGTTGGGAATGAAAAACCACCTTTTGCTGCTTCCATTTGGAACCAGTGAGCCTGTCCTGGGTTTGAAAGGGCAGCAGGACAGCTCTGGGTTACAGAGTGGCATGTTTAAAAGGGGATCATTGTGAGTAAGAGTCTGCAGGGGATTTAGGGAGCTTAACAACAATCCCATATGATTACTCTGCAAGGACAGGAAATGCCAAATAAGCATGCTTCCTTCCCAGCCTGCCTCACACAGCCACTGACACACAGTTCCAGCCCCTGCACTTCTTACCAACAATTATAGGATGCTCAGGACCTGTTTTGGGTTTGGCAGGGCCTCATCCCAAGCCTCAGACTCCCTGTCTCTGCAGGAAGTTTCCCCTCAGCTTTCCCGCTTGCAGCTGAGACAGGGAATCACTTGGCCCAGATCCCAGCGGTCAGTGACAGCTGCTGTGTCACCCAGACACAGGGATTGCCTGGAGCTGCCTGTGTAGCCCATATTCCCTAAGGAAGCTTCTATGGATTCCTAGGAGAGTGTACAGTGCTCACTGACCTGTGACAGCACGTCAGGGACCTGTTATTGGAATATTTGTCGAACGGGACTGAACCCCACATTTTTGGAGACAAATTTTAGTCTCCAGTCCACGGATTTGCTCCATGCACAGGGAGGGTGGAAAGAGTAAGGACTTTCTGCCAGACCAGATGGACATTCAGGATAAGCCTCAGTCTGGGATAGTGGCAGAAAGGGCAGGTGATGTTCTGGAGGGAAGGAGGGAATCGGGATGTTGCTCCTCCTCCTGCCAGGAGTCAGTGGATGAGGCAGAGACTGTCACTTTATGCAGGGGGAAAAGATCTCATCAGGATTGCTTGGAAGTATCAGAGATGGGAGTACAGAGATGGAAGACCATGGCTCAGCTGCTGCCTTTGCTTTGTCCGTTCTAAGGTGTGGCAGTGGAGCTTTACACACTGGCTTTGGGTTGCAGGCCAAGATGAAGAAAGAAAGGCCAGGAGAAATTGTCCTGGTGAAAAAAATCAACTTCCTAAATACACAGTCCCTCTTGAAACCCGAGAATTCTGCTCTAGGCTCAGATTAGCTCATGGCAGCCTCACTGCAGCTGCTGAGGGAAGGAGTTCTGGTAACTTCTGCTGGAGTTGGCTGCCTTATCTTGGGTAATTACCTCAAGGTTCATATGTTCTAAAATCTGAGCTGAGTAATGCCTGGCAGTCTGCATCAGCATCTGTGTGTTTCCTCTGTGGTTTGGGTGACAGAGGAAATGACAGCTTCGTTCCCATTTTTTTGCCAAAGGTGATCACACACCAGAGTCCTGATCGTGGCCATCCTGAGGTCATGGCAAAGCCTCACCTCCAGCAGCAAAATACTTCCTCTTAGTGGTTTTACTGGTTTGACATTATTTTTTTTCTCTCCTTTCCCAGGCCTTAGAATCCAAATTAGCTGCTTGCAGGAACTTTGCCAAGGACCAGGCGTCACGGAAATCCTACATTTCAGGGAACGTCAACAGCGCCGTGATGAGCAGCAATGGCACCAAGTACCCACACCCAGGGCACACCTCCTTCTTCGACAAAGGGTGAGTGAGGGACACCTCTGCCCTGCAGGGAACTTCCTTTCAGCAGGCCTGTTTCTTGTCCTGTCCTTGCCCACCACAGCTTCCATCCCATAGGACAAATAGTTCCTGGGGCCGAAGCCTCCGGGGCACGGGGAAGGTGCCGGTGCTGATTTTGGGAAAGCAAAGAGAAAAGCAAGTGTGGTTGGCTGATCTGGTGGGGTAGCAGTGCCTGTTCTGTCCTGCTGCTGACTCATCTTGGGTGGCTGTAAAACCAAACCCCGGGCAGCAAATCTGCTAGTGGTGAGCGTGGCCTTTGAGAGGATCTTGGGGAAGCAGAGCTGGAGTTGCCACAGCTCCTGGTGTGCTCTGGGGATGTGGGGATTCCCTTGGCACAGCTGAGGGCAGGCAGGAGTGTTCACTTGGAGGGTGGAGCCCTGGGTGCTCACTTCCCTCTGCAGTAGGGGAAGAGAGAAACGTCACTGATGGTGTAATTGTGGCTGCTGGGGGGTGACAGGAACTGCTTGCACAGGAAAAACTACCTCATGTGACTTGCCCCTGGTCAGAGCTTCCTCTGGGATCCTGGGAAGTGGTTCCACAGGGGGATTTTCCCCAGTTCCTGGGAGCACAAGGCCCTGTGGGTGTATTGAGGGTGAAAAGCACAGTGGTCCAGGGGGCAAAACACCCTCCCTGCTCCCTGCACCATGGTACCATTCCATGTTAAACCTCTTCCCAGTGCAGTTTAATGCTAATACTCAGCACATGCTCAATCCTGCATTTATTTTAGAGAAGGAGATGAGCTGTTCCCAGTCTGAAGAGAGGCAGACAGCTGAGCTTCCTCCACTCCCCCTGCTCAGCTGACTCCCCTGCCGAGTGGGAGCAGCCACTGCATCTTCCAAACTGGCATTCAGAGGTTTTGGAGCCACTGCTGTTTGGAATGGGAGAGTTTGGAGATGTAACAAAGTCATTATCAGACCTTAGGGTTGTGTGTGTGCTGAGGGGGCCCTGCAGCCCCCCAGCAGTGCTGGGGGGGTGATATTGTTGCAGCTCTGAGGAGGCAGCAGGGCTGAACTGGGTGTGGTGTGACCAGTAAGCTGATTGCTCTGTGGGGTGGGGGGCGCTCTGAATTACCCACGTTATCATCACCCTTGTTATCTGGGCTGGTGCCTGCAAGGAGGAGCAGGTTGTGGCTGAAAAAGGCTTAGGAACCCTGGCCCCTGAGGGAGCTGCAGCAGAGGTGGGTGTTGTTGGGCAGGAAAAGGGGTGGGAGTGACTGATGGGCTCATGTGCAAGTTGCTGGAGACCCTGCTAGAAAATCAGTTAAGCCACACAGGTATGTCTGGGTTAGTCCTGCTTACTACAGCCCAGACCTTTGGTAGCACTCAAAGCAGTCCTTTTTGCCCTTCCTCTCCTTTTCTGCCAGTTCCTCACTGGCCAAGCTACACTCCTTAAATTGGAAGAAAAAAATAAAAAAAAAAAGTGGATTCCTTGGACCGTGAGATCAGTGTTAGCTCCCTGCAGCTGCTGGGCCTGCAGAAGGCAGGACAGTGTGGTCAGCTCTGGGCTGTGCCCCAGTGTGTGTGCAGGGTGATGATGCCTCTGCTCCACAGAGTTTTGCTGTACTTATTCCCTCACCTTTGAAAATTTGGGATTCTCTTTCCTGTCCAAACGGTAAAACTGCCGACAGTTCAACTGGAAAACGTCCACACCCCAAGGTGAAGGATAGGAAGTAATTAGGAGAAGTTTCTGTGCACAGATATGGAGCAATACCCACAAGTGTTGTGCTGTTCGGAGCTCATCCTTTCTTGGGGGGGTGAATTCTGCACTCAGTGCTCAGATTTTGGAAGAGCAGGAGCTTGTCCTGTCCTTGTCCTGTGCACCCCCGTGTGCTGGCCCGGCAGGGTGGGTGGCCCAAGGCTGTCCCTCACCCTGGCTCCTGCTCCCCTTGGTGTCCCAGCTGTGCCCTGAGGTGCTGGCAGTGGGAGCTCCCTGCTCTGGGTCACTGCCTGAGCTCAGGCCATGCTGGGTGGGCACGAGGGGCTGAGGGGAGCCCTGCCCTTCCCTCTGCCCTTCCCTCCTCCCTCTCCCCCCCCTGCCCTCTCCTCTCTGCCCCTGAGTGGTGCTGGACCCTGAACCAGCCTCACATGGTCATAGATCTGATCCAACCTGCAGCCTGTGCCCAAAGAGCAGACGGTTGCTGGGTGGTGGGGTTGGGGCAGAGGGACCTCAGCCCCATCCTCACAGCTCTATTTGCTTTCCTTGCTCTGCCATTTTGCTGGTTAAAGTGTTTGAGGAGTCTCCAGCTCTTGTCAAGCCCCTGCTCTTTGCCCTCAGGAGGTGGAACAGGGCAGCATTGCTGTAGGGGATGACAGCAGGGCTTGCTCCAAAGCTGTGCTGGAGAATTGGAAGGGTCAGGACTTCCCTTCTTTATTCCAGCTCCCCAGTGTCTAGTGTTGATGAGTTTCCTGCAGACCTGTTCCTTCAGGAACGTGCTGCTTCTGTCCAGGTGCCAGGGGATGGCAGAACAGCACCTGGAGATGCTCTTTGGGCTTTTTGCTGTTGTACTTGTTCTTAATTGGTTATTAAAGTCAAGTCCAGTTTGGGAACAAAACAGCCATGAAGGGCCCTGCAGAGTCCTGGCACTGGGGTGCTTGTTCCTCAGGGCATTAACTCCTTGTTCCCCTTCCTGCACTCTTGAATGCCAAAGTCCTCGGAGTTGATGTTTGTTCTTAGTTATTTATCTGAATCAGTTGGGCTCTGTTTTAATAAAACAAGCTGCAGTTTGAGTGTGAGGAGATCCTTGCACACTTGCAGCAGTGCCACGAAGCAAATGGGTGCCTCTGTTACCCACAGCCCTGGTCTGTGCACACCAGGCTGGGAATTTGGGCTCTTCTTTGGGTCCCTGGTCTGCCCTAAGAAAAGTTTCCCTGGCAAAGAGGGAGCTGTGGCTGACTCAGGTGAGTAATCCTGGGATGTGCCTGTGCAGAGCAGGCTCTCCCTGAGCAGAGGTCAGAAGGTTTGCTGAGGTTGAGTTTAACATTTTCTCTCTGCCCCAGTTCCTGCATCAAGGGTTGTGCTCAGGAATGTCTTTGTTGTGTACATAAACTTTCCCTTTCTCTCCACTAGGCGTGAAAAGGTCATATTCCCCACCTTGGTCCTGGGTAAATGAATTCATTTGCACTGATCTGCTGCATGTGCTGTAACCTGGGGCTTGGGGGGCAGAGCTGGGCTCTGCTAACTGCACGAGGTAGTTCATAGTGTCACACACTAATAGGCCCTGATCAGAGCCCAAGGCTGTAATCTCTTCTCCTCCTGACTTTAAATAAACCCCTCTGCTGCTGTCACCTGTTGCAAACATAAGCCTGAGTGCTGCTGCTTTCTTGATCTCATTAATACTTCCAATACCTGCATGATTCTGATTGAGCCGGGCACAGCAGGGACACAGAGGGGTTACTGCTGGTTGATGGAGTTCATCTGCAAAGTTTGCCCTTTGGTTGTGGTTTTCCTTCAGCATTTTGTGGCTCTGGACTCGTTGATGTGTGGGTGATGTGCTTCTGGCTGAAGGGAAGGCAAACAAGGGCTGGAGGGGGGGAGGACAGTGTGGGGAGGGACAGCAGTGTCCCTGCTGGGTGTCAGCAGCTGGAAACAGCTGTAAGCAACTGGGAACACAGATATGCCAGCGAGGCTGGGCAGATCCAGGCCCCTGGGGATGGGGGTCCTGCACACAGGGCTCACAGGCCCCACCTGGTCCCTTCCCTGCCTCTGGGGGAAGTGTGGAGGGTTCCCTGTGCTGTCCAAAAGGGCAGGTTCCTGCCAGTCTCCTCCTCCTCCTCCTCCTCCTCCTCTCACATCTCTGCTGGGTGTTCCTCGACCTCCTGGTGCTGTTGCTGCTGCCCAGGAGAGGAGGAGATGTGTGTTAGAGCCCTGCCCTGTCTCAAAACTCGCTTTCCCTCTGTTTTTTTTGTGGGTCTTCTCTCCAAGTGTGCTTTGAGCAGCTCCATTTACCCTCCAGGCCGGGCTGTTCAGCTCCAGGAGAATCTTGGGCTGAGGTTTTGTTGGATATTTGGAGTTGAGGGAGTCTTGGAGATCAGGTGCTAAGCACAAAACACAGCTTGAAATGCTGTTTAATGAGTCACAGTCTGTCATTTCCAGCTGCTTCTGCCTGTGTCTGGAGCACTGGAGCCTGGTTTCTTGGGAAGCCCAGAGCAAGGGCACATCACAGAGTGTGCTGGGAGGGGGGTCTGAGGGACAAGCAGGAGAGGGATCAGGTTGTGGTTAATCCCTGAGGACAGGTCTCTGTGCAGCTCCTCCCATCTGAGACCCTGGAGACCAAGCACAAGGGCTTCTCTTCCCAGCTCTGGCAGCTCAGGCAGATCATCTTACTGGTTATTTTTAACAGTTGCTCTGTTTAAGGTGTTTTACTTGCCTTTCACTCTGGTTCTCCCTGCAGTAATGCTGATTTCTTTCCCTTTTTTTGCGTGTGTTTTCATGTTGCCACCAGAAATCCAAGGCTGGGTAAGACCCTCCCTAAGCTCAGCCCCAGTGCCAGCTCCCAGTACCCCCCAGTTGCTGTTGGGTGCCTTTTGCTGTGCCCCAGCACCTTTATTTCTGCACCCACAGCAAGTTTGGGCTGGTGGGATGTGCTGAGCAGTGCAGGGAGGTGACTCCTGGGGGGAACTGCCTTGCTGCTTGAATTTTTTAATTAGCAAACAAGGGAGAAACCTCAAAAGGCTTCTGAATGGGGTTTTTGCCTTTCCCATCTTCAGCAGAGAGGTTTGTGTGTGCGGTGTGGTGCTGGGGGACACTGGGGACACTCAGTGCTCACAGCCCTTGCTGCCCTGGCCCTTCTTGTTTGGGGCATCACTGGGTTTTTGGGATTTAAGCAGGGTTCTGTAATGTCTGTCTGGCATCTGGTCATGTCTGTGTGGCAAACCTGGGCTAGTGGAAGGTGTCCCTGCCCATGGATGATCTTCAAGGTCCCCTCAAAGCCAAAGCAGTCCCTGATTCTGTGACTGTGTCTGTGCTGCTCCTCTGGTACCTTTGTGGCTTGTTTGGTAGGGAAGTGTCACCACCCTGAGGGAGCAGCAGCTGCAAAGCCAGGAGGGACAGGAAAGTGTCCCAGGGGCACAGTTTGGGTGCTGAGAGCCCAGTTTTGAGAGCAGCTGGGCCCCAAACCCAGCAGGGAGGGGCACAGTGGGTGACAGGGACACAAGGGTGACAGGGACACGAGGGTGACAGGGGTGTGGAAGGCCAGGGGGTGGCAGGGGGCTCTGGAGGCAGTGGCTGGTGCAGAGAGCAGTGCCAGGCCCTGAGCCCTGTGGGGACGTGTTCCCTCCTGCCCTGGCTGGGGGCACCACAAGGACCTGGTGGCCCCTGCTGGGGGCTCAGAAGGGACCAGTGGCCCTGCCCAGCTGCCCATCCCACTGTGCCATGCCAGGAGGTGCCAGTGCTGGCCTGGCTGAGCTGCAGCCCCAGGCACTGTCCCAGTGGCTCTGCATTTAGTGCAGGGAATGTGGCAAATCCCCAGAGCTTTACCAGCCCCCTCAGACACTTCCAGGCTCCTGCTGCTGGATGGCACTGTTTGTTCTCCAGCCCTTTCCACACGGACATTTTAATCCTGTTTGGTGTTGGCTTTTCTGTGGTGGGGTTTTTTTCCCCCTGTCCTACTTGGCAAGGGTGTTTTCCAGCTGGTAACTCATTTGCAGAGTCATGTTGGGATCAGGTTGGCTCTGGGCCCTTCATCCAAACAGGATCAGGGAAATACATTTGTCCCCCAGCCTCTCCAGCAGCTCTTCACTGCAGGCAGGGAGGGTTTTGCAAAGCAACACTCAAATGGGAGCTGAAGTTTCCAGCTGAATGAGGAGGAGGTGAGAAAGGGGGTTCCTCCCTGCTCTCAGCTGGTGCTGGGATGTGGATGTTCCAGCCAGGAACAGGCTGTGAATGTGTCCTTGCTGTAGCAAGCAGGGAGCTTTTAGCTCTTCACCTGCTGTTCTGGGAGGATTTGGGAACTGCCCCTGCACTGGCAGCACCCTCCTGGCTGTGCTGGAAGGGTTTCTGTGCCCCTGACCCAGGAGGAGCAAGGCCAGCAGGGAACATCAGCTGCATGGGAATGGTGTGCTGTGCTAAAGGGAGCGTGGGAATGGCTTCAGACTGCCAGAGGGCAGGGTTAGGTGGGATATTGGGAAGAAATTGTTCCCTGTGAGGGCTGTGAGGCCCTGCCACAGGTTGCCCAGAGAAGCTGTGGCTGCCCCTGGATCCCTGGAAGTGTCCAAGGCCAGGCTGGACGGGGCTTGGAGCAACCTGGGCCGGTGCAAGGTGTCCCTGCCCATGGCAGGGGGTGGCACTGGGTGAGCTTTAATGTCCCCTCCCACCCAAACCTGTTCACAGGTTCTGTGGACAGCCCTGCCCTGCCCTGGGGTCACTGCCAGGAGTCCCCCGTGCAGGAGCTGCTGCCGCCACGTGTGTCCCTGAGGCAGCAGTGGCATTGATGTGGCCTTCCAGGTTCAGCCTGGAGCCTCCCACTCCCAGGACGGTTTCCCCCATCAGCAGAGCCCTCTCAACTGCTTTTCCTGCTCCCTTTTCCCCTGCAGCCCAGGCTGTCTCCTCAAGTGTCCCTTCACAAACAGCTCTGCCAGGACACGTTCCCGAGGCACCTTCTGGGGTGCTGGTGGCCCAGGCAGAGCTGGGGACACTGGGGACAGTGCTGCAGGGGGGGACATCGAGGCAGGGCCTGCCCTGCCCTTGAGGGGTGTGAGGGTTCCCCCCCCAGACCCCCCATGAGAGCAGGGGGCTGGTTTGGGACAGCAGTGGGGTGGATGTGCTGCTCCAGGGATGTAATCTCTCCTGGTGGAGCTGGGGGAGCTCCGGGGATGGTGACCCTGGACAGGAGGCAGGTCTGGCAGAGCCATCCCCGAGATGGCAGAGCTGTCAGACCCTCCCACTGCTCTCCCAGCCCACCAGGATCAGGTTCTCCAGAGCTGCAGCAGCAGCCTGGGGGATCCCGGGGGTGGAGGGACCCGGAGCTGCTGCTGCATCCCGGTGGGATCAGTGGAGCACAGAGGGAGCTCTGCTGGGCTTCATTGCTCTGTGAGTGTGTCTGTGCCATCCCGGGGCAGAGCCTTTGTCCCCAGCCCGGAGGGACACGGGGACAGAGGTGACACCGGCCCCAGCCCTGGGGCACAGCCCGCGGTGACACAGCCCAGAGGCTGCACCTTCCTCAGGGGCCTCTGCCCACTGAGTGCCAGGGAAGGGACAGGGACAGGGAGCTGACGGTGGGAACAAGCCCGAGAGCTGCTGGCTGCGGCCCTTGAGCTGCACAGACCCACAGAACGCCGGAGGGCTCAGGGTCTGGGCAGCAGCCGCTGGTCCTGCTGGGCTGGTCCCCTCCCCAGCACATCCCTGCTCCAGGGCTGGGCACCCCCCTGGCAGCCGGAGGTGGGACCCGCATCCCGGCCATATCCTGGCCCTGCTGCCGCCCTCCCGGGCTGTCAGGGATGAGGGTGGAGGAGAGGGGTCGGTTTTCCAGCTGCTGGTGAGGGGAAGGTGAGCAGTGAGTGGCCTGTCCTGTGCTGGTCCCTTCCCTAACGCGTCTCTCTTGTCGTTTCCAGGGCGGTGAACGGCTTTGACCAAGGTCCCCCCGGGCTGGGAGCCTCCCGACCGTCCTCGGCGCCGGGAATGCTCCCCCTGAGCGTATGAGCCGCGGGGGGGAGCGCTTGGACTTGTGTTCGCTTTTCTCGGCCCAGCAAGAGAAGAAGAACTGCTCCCGCTCCCTCCCCCTTCCCACCCCGCCGGAACATGACCCCGAGAGGAGACCCCGAGCCCACGGCCCTCCCCGTCCTGTCAATACAGTTTGTTTTCTCTGTCGCTGTAGTGGACGTTCTGTGCCCCACGAGCTGCCACTCCCAGGGCCGTGTTTGGGGACACACACTGGTCCTGTTCCCCGGGCCCTTTCCTTCCTCTCTGCTCTGATTCGAGCTCTGGCCGTTCCCCCTGTCCCTGCAGCTCTGCCCTCGGGGGAAGGCTCAGACCCCTGGGAAGGCCGTGGGGGAGGGTGGGCGATGGCACTGGGGGCGTTGGCAGCCGGGCAGTGTCTGCAGGGGATGTGCCAGTCCCGGCTGCACCGCCGGGTGTGTTGGAGCCGGCAGGGCTGGAGGAGCAGACCCGGAGCGGATCCGGCAGCCCGGCCTGGCCTGGCCCATCCCCTGGCACAGGTGGGCACACACGGCAGGGCTGGGCTCCTCGGGGCAGGGAGGTGACAGCACAGAGGGGGGACTGTCACCAGCTCCCACAGATGCCCTGGGGGGAGCTGGCAGGGCTGAGCTGTTCTCCTGCTGTGCCCTCATGTGTCCCCTGGACCTGCCCCGCAGGCCCAGCCTTCCCCCCTCGCAGCTGCAGAGCAGCTCCAGGAGAACATTTGGGAGCCCCTGCTGCAGCTGCCCCCAGTGCCCATGGACCCCCCACCCCCTGCTCTGCCCCGTGTAGGACCAGAGTGTCCAGTGTCCCCTGTAGGTTCTGTGACGGCGTTGGGTGGCTGTGGCACCTTGCGGGTCCTTGGAGCGACACATCTGCGGGATTTCTCTGTCCGTGTGCCTCGGGGTCCGTGGGTTTTCAGCCTGAACCAGCGAAGGGAGCCGGGGGTGGAGCTGTGGGTGCCGAACTCCCCGTTCTGGGCTGGTCCAGCACGGTCAGGGGCTCTGCAGCTTCCAGGGGGTTTTAGTTACGAGCTGAGAAAAACCACTGGCCCCGCAGGGGAGGTGGGATGTGCCCCTTGGCCCTGAGGGTTTGTATGGTCCTTCCTTCCTGTGCATCCTCTGCTGCATTTGACTGTTTACATTTGTTTTATTGTACATAGATTTGTAAACATAATACCTTTGCCTGAGGTCTTTGTACATAACTTGGGCTTTGTAGCTTTATTTATTCAGCCTCTCTCTGGCATGTTTCCGTAGGATGTACCGTTCCACCCCGGTGCCACAGCCATGATGTGGTTTCAAAAAAAAAAAAAACAAATGAGAGTAATCTTCCAAAAATAAAGTTCTTTTAATGTGGAATCAGTGGATTTTGCAGAACTGGTGGCTGTGGCTCTATTTTTGTCCCGTGGGGTTTTTTGCCAGGTGCAAGGAAAGGGGGGGGGCGCCAGTGCTGAGGTGCTCCCGTTATCCCGTGGTTTTTCCCTTGGGAATGTTGCTCCGTAGCCCGTTTTGGGCACACGGGAACAGCCCCTGCTGCAGCTGGAGCTGAGCAGTCACCTGTCCCCCACCAGCCTCTGCCGCTGGCACCGAGTTCCCCGGTGGTGCAGCAGAACCCGGTGGGGTCAATATTTAATTTTGGGGAGGAAGCGTTGGAAGCTCCAGCTGCCAAGCCGGGCGTTTCTGTCTCCTTGGAGCAGCTGGAAGATGTTTTTGCTCTGCGGAGGAGGAGCCGCGCTGGGGCCCTTCCCGGGGAGCTCCATCCCCCCTCCCGGCTGCGGTCCCAGCCCTTCCTCCGGGTGCTGCCGCTCCCAGGGATCGGCTCCAGCCCGGGATCAGCTCCATCCCCGGCGCTCCTGGGATGCGGCGCAGCAGCCCCGACCCTTGGGGCAGCTCTCCAGTCCCCGAATGGGGCGGGCAGGGGGGACTGGAGAGCTGCCCCAAGGGTCGGGGCTGCTGCCCAGGCTGGCCCTCCATGCCGGGAGCTCCAGTCGGGCTGCTGGAACTACACGTGCCATGGGAAGGGTGGGAGAAGCAGCCCCCCTAAAGCTCCTTCCAGTCTGCTCATTCCCTCAGGGTGTTTTTAACCCATTCGCCCTCCCCCCGTCCCAGACCCAGCCAAGACTCCCCACCCAGGACCAGCCCCTGCAGCTCTTCTGCCCCCCCTTTCCTCGGCCTCAGCTGCCCCTCCCTCCTGCCCCAGCTCTGCCTTCACCCCAGGCAGGTTCTGCACCCCAGGGACCCCCCCAAAACTGCCCTGGACGGAGTCCAGACCTCGCTAAAGGCAGCAGGAGGGGGGGGGGGGCTGTGCCTGTGCCCTGAGCTCCCTTTGTGCTCCAGTGGCATTTCAAAGGCTCAGCTCTGACCCTGATGCTGTCTGTATTTAGATCAAAACAAAAGGGGAAAAAAAAAAAAAAAAAAAACAACCCAAGCAAATAAAAGAGGAAGAAGGGAAAAGGCAGCTTCCAGTCATATCTCGTTTATTAAGGTCTATGCCAGCCTCGGGAGAGCTCTTCCAGTAAGTAAACAGAGCAGGCGGCCGCATCTAGAATGAATAAATTTATTGTCTTACAAAAATCATTGTCTAGAAATATGGGGTATACAAGAAAACAAGATATTTGCAGTCAGACGCCTGGTGGTCAACAGCCAGTTTGATTAAAAATATCCAAACACACACACAACAAAACCTTCGCGACAGATGTTAAAGCTTTGAACCAAAAAAAAAAAAAAGGGAAATCCATGGGTTTTGAGCATGTGGCAGAGGAAGTTTCCTAGTTAACACTGATTCATTGTCACTAATATCAATAATACCACTTGGACTAGAGAGGTACATGATATGAAGCACAGTCAAAATTAATACATTAAATCATTGTTATATAGGCAAATTATATATGTAACGTTGTCTTAGTACTGTAGTGTCTAAGGCACTTTCTGTAATGTCAGTTTTCAGCTATTTCAACAAAAAGAACGCTAACTACTCACTGTAATACTGCTCAAAATAAAAAAACAACAACAAAACAACAACGAAAAAAAAAAAAGGATTCACATCCACTGGCATGTTAACTCGTAGGCAGGCAGCATCCATCCATCCACCACGGGAGCCCTGGCCCCCACAAGTCCCCCAGGAGTCCTGCAGGGCCTGGGGGGCTGCCAGGGGGTCCCAGAGCCTCCTGCACGTGCAGCCACTCGGCTCCACGGCCTGGGCACGGCCTGGCTCGGCCTCACGTTAATAAATTAGCTGTGCCTGTGTTGTGTGTTTAATTCCCACTGGTGTTCACATTAAAGGAGCCTGGATATCTACAGGGAGGGCTCTGGGCTCTCGGGTCTGTACAGGGGGACGGGGACCCACCTGGGTGTGCCTGGACTGCATGAACACGAACGGATGGAGCAGGTGCTGAGAACACTTCAAATGGTATTGCAGGTTAAAAAAAAATGGACACTACTCACTCATCCCTACACTTCCCTCTAACACTTCCCAAGGCCGTTTCACAGTTCACTCACAGATTGTGTGCGGATCACAACAAGGAGGAGAGGAGAAAAGAAAAGATACGGGTGCGGTTTGGTCTTCACTGATCCAAGAGACTCAGCCCAGCCAGGGGCCGGCGAGCCCGGGAGCCTGGAAGGATGCTGGACACAAGGCATGCATAGCCATGGCAAAGGGGTCTGTCCCGGCCACCCACCCCGCTGGGAATGACGGTTCTGGATTGATTAAAAAAAAGTTTCATCCTTCACATGATGCTTTTAGAAAATGGCTTTACAATGAGTTATCTGGAAAAAGAGATGCACTGAACAGAGACGATCCCGGTTGTTCGCTATATATAAAAAAAGCGGTTGTACCTATATCTGAAGCAGGGTACGGTGTGGTGAGGCTGGAGAGCCTTAAGACATGGTTGACCTATGATAAGGAGCCTTGTAGCACATGCCGACGGGTCGTAAGGCAGGTTTGGGGCCACAAGGCAGTTCTGTGGGCAGGACAGTCCTGTGCTCCTGCTGGCGGGGCTGGAGAGGTCTCTGCATGCAAAGGGGGGGCTCTACTCGGCGGGGGCGGGCGGCGCCTCGTTCACGTCGCTGCCTTTGCTCTCGGCGTCGTCGTCCGACAGCTCCAGGGAGGCCCCTTCGATGTGCAGCTGCCGCCGCCCCGAGCGGCTCGAGGAGAAGGTGATGGGCCCCCCCCTCCTGCAAAGCAGACACGGACTGGGATTGCTGGGGGGCCCTGCCTGAGTCATCCCAGAGAG